CGAAAAAACTCTTTTTCCCTCCTACTGCAAAATATGTCCATTTTTATCAAATCATCATATTTATCAACAAGACATCAATGTGAAGCCTACAAACAAAAAGATCTACATAAATTCTGGCAACAAAACTGTGGCATCAGGTCACGAATCAATGCATGGGCAAACAACTCCAGCTGAGAGTCTGACATGTGCACCACAGACGGTCTACACAGCAGGGGACAGCCAATTTCAACTGCTGCAGGGAGGGGGGGGGGTAAACCTAGCCCCTACCAGGCACTGCAGATCGCTGGAAAAATAGTAGAAATTGGCCTCCATGGGTCGCAAATTGGATCTTCTAAAAATCTTCCATGGCCCGGGATCTTCTCTGGTATACTATCCCTTTATTTCGGCCAATTTTTACTATTTTTCCAGCGATCCGCGGTGCCTGGTAAAGGCTAGGGTTTTAGTACAATCTGTGTCAAGTGCTAGAACTGAGAAGAAAAGTGTGCCAATTTCTATGGAGAGCATTCTCCTATCCTTCAAACAGAGACATCAAATTCTACAGGAGTAATCACAATAGCTAGGGAATAGTTCAGCAGGTTCAAAGAGACAGCCGCTTGCTTTGTATGCGCACTGTGTAGACCGACTGCATTCCAAAAATAGAGCAACCTTCACAAAAGAATAGACAGACAAGATCCGGGATACTGTACATAGTTGGACCACAAAGTAGGCTTTGTGTCTTGTTATGTGGTGACAATTACGCAAATAAAATCTAAATAGGACTTCCATCAACTTCTATTCCATGTTCTGAAATTCTCAGTTTTCAAATTATGTTGAAGGCTGTCTTCAGAATGTAAGTTGCACCTGTGCAAAACCCTGATTTTCACGGTTTTCGTTGGATATATGGTCGACATTGCATCAGAATTTTGCTTGTTGCAGACGATATCTTTTCCGAAATAACATTTGGAAACTACAGAATAGATATTTATCTTATATATGCGAATACGATCTTATAAGACATTCTGCAGAAGTACTATACATTACAGGTTTCGCACAGGTGCAGTACGTTCTGCCGACGTGCTATGCTAGCTGTGTTTTGTCGAGTTTAACACATACATAGTCAAAACAGGACTTCTGGTTGACTTTGATGGGAAGCTACTTGACCCTGGTGCCCTCTGTGTGGTTGAGAAATGCCTGGAGCTACACAAACCCATCAGAGCAGAGCACAGGAGCTTCCCTGTTGTCTCTGGGGGCATCAGGGTCAGACTGCGAACAAATTAGGCCTTGCTTCAAGGTTATCTTTCATCTAACCTATATGTAACTCTGCTGAAAAAAAAACTGTCTAACAGAGATAACAAACCAGCATCCTAGAATTTGTTAGAACCACCTACAGCCTGAATACATTTTGGTCGTTTCAGCCCATATTTTTGACAAAGAAATTTCGACAAAAATACACGTATCTATGCTCAAGAAAAAAAATGTCTGACACAGATAACAAACCAGCATCCTACATTTTCTAGAATCATTACCACCTACAGCTTGAATATATTTTGGTCGTTTCAGCCCATATTTTTGACAAAGAAATTTTGACAAAATTATATTTCCATTGCATCAAATTCAGGCAGACTTAACTATATCGTTACGTTACCAGAAATGTTACAGTTTTGTGTACATGACACAGCAAATTCTGTCCATTTGATTTACATCCAAGGCTAGGAAGCCTGTGTCGCAAGTTTATCAGGATCTAAGAAGAGCATCTGAAGTGTTTTCTCCTCTTCAAGTAGACTCAAGCAGTCGGCAAGGTCGGAGCTTTTATTTGTAAGGAGATCTAATAAAAACAGGAAGGTGAATAAGACAGGAAAAATCTCTTGAAGTGAAGACCACTTTTTCTCACACTACTATAGAATTGTACTGAACTGAACAAACAACTATCAAACTTAAGTGGAAAGTTGTCTTAATAAGTAAGTTATGATAATAAAGCATTATGCCACATGGAAATATATGTATAGATCATTCAATTGGTTAGGCCTTGAAATACCCAACTTAAAGTTAAACCTGAAATTTGCTGAATAGTTTCTCAGATCAAACAAAAATTCTTATCCCAAACAACTTACAATTGAAAAGCTTTAGGAATATAGGGCCAGTATTATGAGTCAGAAATAAAGTATTTTGACGTACAGTAAGACTAAGACGTCACCAATTCTTCTTTCAAAAGGATATCTCAAACTGAGCGCAAGTCAGCGTAAAAAAAAACAGCCTCTTCACTTTATTTAGATCAATCTTTTCAGTTCTCATGGGAGACTTACCCCTTTTAAATCCTAAAATTAATGCTCAACTGTGCTCGGAGCACTCAAGCACCTTCTTTCCAACAATGGAAGCACAAAGAACACCGGCAGTTCAAGAGGAACCTCTACTCCTGTAGCACCAATACAGGACTGGAGGTGTAGCACACGTAGCTTGTTATTGACATATTACACTGACTACAAAGTCCGTATTGTGCCCCTAAGCGACTATACAAGCCCATAGACAAAGTCAACCTTGGCTCAGGTTTCCTTTGCTTTCACTGCACGGCTAACATGATTTGCTTTGATACCAAAGACCTGGCCAGGGGTGACTTGAAGCTTCGGTAAATTTGCTAGCTGTGCTTCTGTAAAAGACAAAGGGGAAAGGAACACTTGGACAGGGCCTGTTGTTGCTGTGCTAAAGTGGAGAGACTGCTTAGATATGGTCGGCTTGGTTCATGCTTATTGAGTTAACCATGGAAGAAGGAGAGTACCAAATGTGTTTCCATCTGTTGAAGTTTTCTGTACACAAAAACTGGTTGTCGTCTTAAGTTATTAGTTCATCAAAGTACAGACTGCAGGAAATAAAGTGGGCTGTTCTGAATCACTTTGTAAAGGTTTATGTGTCAATTTACCCAACAGCATTAGTACAATTACAAGAAAAGCTCTCAGACACAACAAATAACCAAATTATGAGGTCAACTCTTGTGGCCAAGCAATTATTATGCTGTAAAGCCAATTTAACATTTGATTGCACAAGAATACTCCCTGCTCAGAGTAATCCATCAAAATTAATCTTTCATTATTCATAGGCCAATAAGCTTATTTGCTCATTGAATATTTTGGCTTGGATACAAAAAGATGGCGGGTTGTACAGGGAAAACAGGTTTCCTTGTTTCCTTGTGTCAGTTTCACTTTTACTCAGACAACTTTCTTGGCCAAATTAACAGAAAAAGAATTTAGTATAGGCCAGTTTTCTCATATTATAGCTTGGTCGAGGGACAAATTAGCAACCTTTACTGGTCAGATTCTCGTAACCAATTTTAATTTTACTGTACATACCCTATATAGTCTATGGAATATCAAAATTTACTGATGTCAAACAAAAATAAATCAGACCTTATATAACATGTATAACTACATGTATAAGCATATCGAATACTGTATATTATATTTATACATATACACTTATTGTAGTTCTTACAAAATGTCTTTTACTTATAAATCTAGACAAAGAAAAACGTGCTATCGCTACAGAGACTGGCCTGTGCTGTTTCGGGTGAGACCTTGCCCTACCCCCATTGTCTAATGTACCATAGTCCAAACAGTATATATTTACTTTGTAATACGGTACACATGTAATGTAGGTATGGCACAGACATCAGGTGATTTTATTGATTTTTTGCAAACTGTCAGAAGTGTGTTCCTATAAATTTTAACATTAGCTGCAAAGATATGTATTAGTGCATTGGAAACTTGATTTTGCAGTTGCCCTAAATATTCATATTAAGACATATCAATACATAACAATACATCAATCTGTTTATGTGCTAGTGTATAAATTGACTTTGGTGCCACAAAAAATGGAGGCTGAAATTTGTGTGGTCTACATTTTTGTGCAATTGTTATGCTCCAGTAGGAGGCAGCACCACCCATGGCTAACATGTGTATCGCATAAACTCGTGATTTTCATGGTCCAAGTTCCTTCCAAGCTAATGAAAATATCAAGACTTTTGCAATTTTGTGTCAGAAATTTTCAGGTACAGATACAATGCTATGTACATTTTTGGCCTGGTTTGAAGGCTATGGTTTAAATAAACAGTCTCAAATTATAAAACAACATCAAATTGTCAAACAGATGATGTTTTGAGCTTTCTCAGCTGGTACCATAGAAAAACCAATTAAAGATTGCCCTAATTAGAAGTTGGAAATGCCCAGTTACTACTCTATACCCTCAGGCAAAGAAACAGAGTCCAGATTTTTGCACAAGCTCTTAAAATTACAAATCAAAACGATCCTTGTCAAATCGGAAGGGCTAGAAGGAATTTCCAAATTCAAAGTGCGCCCTTGTGTGGATTTTTTTTTTTTCCATATAATCCATTCAAGCATGAAATCCGATTAGTGAGATCTAGAGGCGGGGAATGACCGGCAAACACATTAATTTTGGGTACCGTTATCTTACGGTCCAAAGTTCGCAGCACTCAAATTACAGATAGGAAAATTAATCAATTTCAAAAACTGAGATACGGTCTGTGCGAACCAAAGCATTTAAAAGTAAAGTTTTGCTTTGCTTGAGGCAAACCCAAGTGCACCGTTGATTAAAAGGTTTACACAGAAACGGCATTACGAAATCCCACGACAAATAAATCCTGGCCAGACCCTGAACAAACCGTGGTGTGTACTGTATCTGCGGCAATTTTCGGGACAAGGGTGTGAAATTCCCATGAAGAGAAATGACAACAAACAGCGGCCATGTTTTTCAGAACACCGTAAAAAGTAAGTTGCAACGTACAGGATATATTTTTGAAATTGACAGTAAACGTTGATTCGATCAAGAAATTCCTGAAATTTAAACATCTTAATGGCATTCACACTTCTTAGCACTGGATAATATTTGAACACTGGCTCTGTCTTGCTCTAGATAATCACTGAAGTCACGTTTAGTCACGACCGTAAACAAAGTCCGTCAAACAAGAAAAATTATGACACATGGACAGTTGACAAAATAAAGGAGACACTCACCACACGAATTAACCCGTCTGGGAGAGTCGCTTGAACTTGAAACGTGCACTTTTCCTCCTCTTTCCCCTCTTCTTGCAGCTTCTGCTGGGCCATGGCCGTCAGTATACCGGTCATAAGCGAGTCTGTCAAAGATTTGGAGCGGACAAAAAGCTTCCTCTTCACCGAAGAGACGTTCCTACCGCTACGGCGGCGTTGAACCTTAGCAGCCGACATGATGAGGACGACAGCCCGGTGGCCTCCTTCCCGCGATCACCCTGGAAAAAATCGAGCAGATACCTCCAATATTCCGTCGGAAACCTAACGGGAACACACACACGCCACGCTCCAGTTACTCAGTTCGTCTGTAACATTCCCAAATCCGGAGTTTCCAGCGATTTTCAGAGCGATAAGTCGACCTGTAAATCGTCCCGTAACGTAGTACTCTGCCTGCCACACTGGCCCTTTGTACGATCGTACAACTCACGTCACGTGACGGGCAAGACGAGCGCTGATTGGTCAGTAGTTGTTCCAAACTACGCCCCCTACTTTCAGTAGACTTTTGAGAAGAATCTTCAGCTAGGTACAGTGGAATTCAAGTTTTTCTGTCTGATCAAGGACTGACATTTCTTAGCAAATTTTCGTCATCATTTCATACTTGAAACATTTGAAATATCTCTGAAATCGCTTTAGGTGCCTTTGAAGTTGAAATACAGTATCTTTGGAAAAACCGTGATGTCAATTAAAGTACATCTATCTCTTTGTTTCTATTTGTCGTTTTCATAGGTGTTAGATAGCCTCTACCAGGCTTCGGAAGGTGGCTGGAAAGGGTAGAAATTGGCCAAATAGAGAGAGATACTAGTACCATGCAATCCGCTAGAAAATGCGAGAAAATACAGTGTGCTGCAAAATTTACTTTCTAGCGGACCAACTCCCCCGACATGTTACTGTATCTCTCTCTATTTGGCCAATGTCTACTCTTTCCAGCCGCCTCCTGAAGCCTAGGAGGCTATAGGTATTAGATACGAGGTGTCATATAATTCGGAATGGGTTACGTGTATTTCACGGCGTTACCCCAACAGCAGGAGGCGTCGTTTCCACAATAGGTGCGAAAACCTTAGCGGGGTAATCGCGAATAGGTGACGACAAATTGGCCAATTAATCGGCAATCTTGTTACAATGAAAAAGGAAAATGTTCCTCCCCCTGTCTGGTCAGGCGCCAGACGGGACAAGATTCAAAAGCGAACGTCAAGGTACACCTTTTGACATGAGAATGGCGCATTCTTCTTCTAAAGAATTGATCTCGTAAACAAGATAAAGACTGGTGAGCCTCAAATATGTTACACAAACATAGGATTCACAGACACAAAAGGTATAAAAACGTAGAGTTGAGTGCCAAAATTTGGAACTAGTCACTGTGCTATATTGTTATCCATTGTCCGTCCTTTTTATTTTCATTTTACGTATACTTGCGCTAGATTTCCTAGCCTCCGGTCAATAACTTGCAACAAAACTTTTACATAAAACCCATTGTTATAACCAATCGGATCGGTTTTTAGGGGATTTTGACAGCAACTAATTAGTACATGTACATTCAAGTGTATTCGCTCTTCTTTAGGCCTACTTGGACTACAAGCTTGATTCTTTAAAGTCAAGGTTGCCACTGTTCGGAATCTTTCCACCACTTGCACTTGATTAACGTTAACCACGTCTTTGGGCAGTGAGTCAAAAACGTCCTTCGGAAAACAAATGTGGCTTTCATTTTCTCATGGTCTCTTCGTGTCTGCTACGCCAAGTTCACATCCTAGAGGCTAGAGTGAAAGGATTTCCTCTCTGAATGTGTTGGCTGCTAACACAGGATACTGAACAGCCCCCCTTTCCGCAAAACTTACGACACGTTTTAAGGGCCTGGCGTCACGGTTTCAAGATTTATACGGCACTTCAGGTTCAAGTACAGGTCGCAGTCTTGGTCAGCTGAAGTGTCGCCAAGTCTACCGGGCTTTCCACGGGAGCACAACACGTGCAAACTTCCGAACTGCTGGGGTCAAACTCGAGACAGAGAAAGGGAGGTGCAGACGGGTATTTGTGATAGTCTCCACCAGACTAACAACGCGGGTTCAATTCATCAAAAACAGCAACATGTATCCGAATAGGACAGTAAATTTAGCCTCTACCAGGCTTCGGGAAGCGGATGGAAAGAGTAGCTTCCGAGGCGGCAAATGTTCTCTTATCGCGGACCAACTCCCCCGGCATCATTTGGCCAATTTCTACTCCTTTCAGTCGATTCAAGGCCGAAGTCTGGTAGAGGCTAACAGTACTAGGGGAGTTTTGCCACCGTAGAGTTCATTTGCCTAATTCGGAGGTGACTGACTCTCCTGGCTAATTCTTCCCGTTTTTTTTTCCCGATCCGTACCCCCGTAGGAAGGCCCGATGGAGGCTATATTTGCCAACACTAACACCCACGTCCACGCTGCCAGCGCACACTTTGGACTTTTAGCTGAGTGATGAACGATAAGACGTGGGCGTGGTCCTCCTTCTGTCACGCGAAAGTGATCATTTATCAACTGAACGTCAACACACCTGACGCCTTCGTCTTGGCGATTCTGCACTCTGTCTATTTTTAGGCCTTCCAAAGTCGCATAATTTGGCAAGAAATTGATTGTAGAAATCACAGTGTTGTAAAGTTTATAAACCTGTCTTTCTAAGTAGTACTAAGTAGGACTCTCAGGGTGTATACATAGCAGTGTGAAAAGTTGGATCGTATGACTTGTACAACTGTTTATTATTGGTGGTTAACGTTGGTCAAATTGACGTCAGAGGTACGTCTGGCTTCGACCCCCCGGACTGAACGTTTTGGGACAGTCCATTCATATTTTCGGGAGTCACAAAAACGTTTTTCCTATGACACTTGAACGACATTTAAACATAAAATTGCTTAGCATTGGGAACTTGAATCTATCAGTTTTACATCGAAGGCAATAGGGACTTATTCTGACACTATCTTCATAGTAACTCGAACTTGGCTGCGCTGTCCCCAACGCTACATATTTATAGTCCCAAGTATACAGAGTTTTCCCAGAAGTTACCAACCCAAACAGGTGCTGGCAGCTGGGGTTAGGTCGTACGTGTCGGGTCATGGACCACCGTGTAGGCACAAGTTTCGCCACCGTGTTAATTAAAGAGAACGTTTTCACTTCAGAACGGAGGTGGTGAGAGACCGACAGTTGTCCGCAGTTGTTCCGAGCTTTTGCTAGCCTCTACCAGGCTTCGGGAGGGGGCTGGAAAGAGTAGAAATTGGCCAAATAGAGAGATAACAATACTAGTATTAACATGCCAGGGGAGTTGGTCCGCTAGAGAGAGTACATTTTACCACAGCTCCCTCGCCTCGGCATGTGAACACCCTAGTATTTGGCCAATTTCTACTCTTTGCATCCGCCTCCAGAAGCCTGGTATAGGCTTTTGCATTTGCATCGCCAGAGAAATTGGAATTTCATAGAGTTTCGCAAAGGTTTGATCGGTGACAGCGGCTCTCCAAATAAAGCAGGAGAAGGAATATTTATGGACTCCAAATCCCATTGGTTTAGTCAAGGAGGTTCAATAGACGTTCTTGGTTTAGCTAATCACAGGCTAAATGCTGCGTTAAGGTGTGTGGCCTTAAGAAGAAAGTGTCACATGTTCTGAAGAGACGATGGATTGAGTGATAGAACCACCGATTTTATATAGACGAGAGCCTTTTGTGCATGGCAGCCTCCTTAGCAAGCTCTACGACGGGGGCATTTTTAGGACGGGGGGGGGTCTTTTTAAGTGCGCTTTTTTATTTTATGATTACTTCTATACGGGTACAAACAGCCATAAGAAAAAAAAACACATACATTTTGCCCCCCCGTTTTTCTACCCAGTTCACTCAAGGCACGGAGAAAAAAGTTGCGTCATCCGAGACTTTGTTACACACCTTTTGATTTGTCGGAAGTTTTTTTATTTGTTTGATAAAAGGGTTCAACAAGGTTCAGGTGGAATTAAAGGGCCTGATCGCTGATCCGCGGTGTACATGTATGTACAAGGGTGCGGTGGGGTGACTCACGCTATTTAAACGTGGTTTTTGATCCGCCGGAAGCTGGTTTACTATATGGTGATTGAATGGGCACTTCAATGTCCTATTTGAGTTGTGTTATGTTTGGGAGCGGCGGGGGTGGGGATCCGGAAAACACTGTACATGTGTCAAGGACGAGGAAGTGCAGAACATAAAAACGCGCTCACGTGTCTGCAAGTTCACTACACTGTATACTGCGCACTCCACTTCTTATTGATAAGATCTAGACGGCGATAGCTTGACGTGGACGTGATTGTTGTGTTATGTGTGGGAGCGGCAGGGGTGGGGAAACACCGTGTCCGAGGAAGTGAAAAGAACAAAAAGGAGAGGAAAAACGTGCACATGTTTGCAAAGTTCCAAGTATTATACTTCATTTGACGTCGACCCCATGTTTACCATTCAGATCATGTTATGATACACAATGCTAATAATACGAGAGACATCTAGTCTCTCACTTCACTAGACAAGCGCATAGTACCAACGGAAAGGTCCAAAGGCTGTCTCCAACCCCCAGGAAACAGAAAAGGAAACTTTCCCAGACCGCGCTGTCGGCCAAAATCGACCAAAAACTCGGAAATCGTCCTGCGGAAGCTGCCACGCCACACGTAAAAATCGATGTTTGACGATGTCTTGTTCTCGGAAGTCCCTGGCCCAGAAAAATTACAATGGTCCCGGCGGATGTTTGTAATGTAAGAGCGTTTTCTGTTGTAGAAGAGGTCTGGGAAAGGGGAAGGAGAAGCTTGCTGTTCGAGTCAATACCTGAATTGATCGTGAGACCGTCTATATAGTTAAGATAAGTCGCGGAAGTACCGATGTACATACAAGTAGGTCGGACGCTCTTGCAAAAACAACAGGAGGACAGAAAAAGAAAGAAGACGAGAGAGCGATAGAGAGAGAGTAAGAAAGGAAGAGAGTCGGATGGGGAAGAGAGAGAGAGAGAGAGAGAAAGAGAGAAAGAGAGAGAGAGAGAGAGAGAGAGAGAGAGAGAGAGAGAAAGGTCACTGACCCTGACCGCCTTACCTGTACAGCACTAGTGTTTAATAAGCGCCATCTAGCGTCTTGAATGGAATAGCATCTTATAAGAGTTTTAGCTTTCGACCAAACGATCTCTTTTGATGAAACAGGGGTGTTTGGCGCAATGTAAAAGTGAAGGTTAAGCTTACATGTAGACGTGCCAATGGACGACTGTTAAATTGAAGGACAGAATGAAAGAATAAAGTAAAGAAAGATGACTACCCAAGATAAAACGCATACCCTATCAAATCGTTTTTGTCCCAACGCCAGCATACCATTTTCTCAAGGAAACATAGATGTCCGCAAACTTCGAATTCTTCCAAGTTTTGAGTCGTGTGTTCCATGATCACAGAAACAGATAAATGATGACTTCATAAATGCCAACAAACTTTTCGAGGGCCATTGCTACTAATATGTAAACGCGGCATCATATGCAGTACTTGTAATCACGTGA